ACACACACACACACACACACACACACACACACACACACACACACACACATTACATTGAACAAAAGTGACAGTAAAAGAAAGCACAGGAGGTGCACCTGAGATATCTGAGCCATCTGAAAGTCAAAAGTAAGTCTGTAAGAATATGTATATTATGCAGTTATGCAAGTACCAGTGTAAAGCTCTTAGGTGAGGCGGCCCATCTTTTCACTGTAGTAAGTGGCCACTCCTGAACCACATCTTTGGTTTTCTCATCCACTCTCATCACTGATTCTTTGGTTATACCCAGCAGCCTAGGGACCAGCTTATTTTTACTTTTCATTTTTTCCTGAGACACAAAATCAAACACAGAAATAAAGAAAAAAGAGTGATTAATTCACTATGTTCAGAACAATAAAAATGGTCCACCAAAATATATAATAACACATATTCATCCACAATAAAATTCTTCCTGCATCCTCTCAGAATCTCTTAAGCTTATCATCCTTCTTCTGTTTCCACACTTTTTCTCTCTGAGCTGCCAGCAGATGGATAAGCTGAGCTCTGCTGTCCTGTCTGAGTTTTGAGTTGTACAGTCAATCATTGCCAAACCTTTTTCACTTTAGCTTTTTGCACAAATGTATTTACCATTAATTCCCAGATAAAAACAACAACCTGGAAACAGTGAGTTCATGAATACAGAGAATAATTATATTGGCCGTACGTGATAAATAAAAGCCAGAACAAAACTAAAATCAGTACCTTATGATCTTTATTTTAGGCACAAGCACATCTGCTCCACCTTAACTTTATAACTCAAGCAGAGCTGAACTGTAATCAGTCCATGAGTCATGCAGACCACCACCGGCCAGGAACAGGAGAGGGGGGTTGCACTGAAGCCATGGGATAATTCTAGAGGTGGAATTCCTCTTGAATGATGAAAGCTCTCATGAGAACATTGATTAGCAACATTTAGGCCGAAGAATATTTCTGGACTTGGGTATAAAAGTGACTCAGGACTGCTAATCTCAAAAACACCTTTACAATACGTGAGCTGATTCGGAAATATGATTTGAAGGCAAACACATAAGTAAAACAGGGTGCGTCCATATGGGTATCCCTAGACAAGAAATTTGATTGGCCATCCCAAGTGCCACTTAAAGGTGTCATATGATGCGATTTAAATTTTTCCTTTCTCTTTGGAGTGTTACAAGCTCTTGGTGCATAAAGAAGATCTG